CACATTAATTAGCATATCTGAGATTATTCACCTGCTCCTCTATCAACATCATGTATGCCATCACCAGTATACAGTGCCCTGCTGCAGCCAATACTGAACAGACTTATCTGAAGGAATGAATGGAAGCTGATTTGATATCAATTCCAGAAATATGCAAAAGCCTGTGGCAGAACACTTTAACTTCCCTGGGTGTTCAATCACTGACCTCTGAGTCAACAGTTTTTAAACAAGGTGAAAAAAAATTTAAAAGACCAATTTAAATGCAAAATTGCAGAACAAGAAATTATCCACAAACTCAACTGCGTTAACCATGGGAGTATGGGTTCTCATCCCACTACCTGAACAAGCTGTTAACTCCACTGGCCCTCAAGATGTTAACTGCCTCATTCATCTCAACTGATCTAATAAACCCACTCTCTCTCTGGGCAACGTCTACTCTGCCCTGTTCCCTTCTATAAAAACTGTTTCTTTTCTGCCAGTCCATTCACAGCATCTAAGTAGGCTGCTGTATTTGAAAGCTTTTGCCTCTCAAAACCAGTTAATATCTAAGGGTGTTTACAGACATGTTCCTGGAAGGAGGGGAGGTGGGAGCTTTAATTAAAGCGGCTCTGAGAGCCACTCTAATTAAAGCACCCAAAGCATCATATGCATCAGCATCCCCGTACTGAAAAATGGCGGCAGGGCGCTTTAACTGAACCTCGATGAATGAGCTTTAGTTAAAGCATCCCTGCTGCCATTTTTCAGTGCAGGGATGCTGACACATGTGACGCTGGAGTGTGCTGCTGCCCAGTAATTCGTGTATACGCACCATAAGGTGCCACCTTGCTCTACCTTCTGACTGACTTCAGACCTACCTCTCCAATAGATCTGAGTTAGTAAAATCACTGTAGGACAGTAGGTTATCTTTCTGTCCTTCTTTAAACATTGTTATAAACATGTCATGCATCAAGTTTCGCAGAAAGAGTGCAGTGTCCTAAGAATCACACACTTTGTGCCTTCCAAAAATAGAAAAAGTCCACATAACATCAAATTACAGGGTCAGTTGTCACTGATAACAAGATCAGACCACTTAAATATAGCTTTTCCTAAAACTGTGTATAACGTGTGGGTTATTTTGTATCATATGAGCTGCCCAGCAAAACCACATAGCGCCACCAAATATAAAGCCTGAGTCCAAATTTGAAGCTTGAGTCCAAATTTGAAGCCTGGGTCCAATGAAGCTTGAGTCCAAATTTGAAGCCTGGGTCCAAATTTGAAGCCTAGGTATATTTCACCTTGGCTTACACACGAAGCAGTTTTCAAAACCAGGAATAGTACAATGCATCCTCCTGAATTCTCTACTACAGTATTCTCTTGCTTAAAGAAAAACTTGCATGGGTTAATTTTCAAAATGGAAAAAAAATTTAAATGATTTGCCAAAGGTTACTCAGAAGCTTCAAACAACACAGAGACCACAAACCTTTAGAGGTGACATAAATTTATCTTACCCACTAAACAACAGCACTTCTCACACAAAAGGGTTCAATTTTCTGAATTTAGATCAGACAGAATTAACAATTCCCACCCATCTTTGTAAAGTGTTGAAGATACACAAACGAAAAAAAGCACTACCTCCTTCTAAAGCATTCCAATTAGCATTTTTCAAATGGTGTAACTAAACATTTGTCTATGCAGCAAACTGAAGCGTGAGGGTAGCATGATTAGGCCTCCCTTGGCTAGCTCAAGTCTCTTTATCATAGGTAAAAATCAGTAACCAAGATGTTGTGGCATGTCTTCAGCAGAATCTAGCAACACCAAGAGATGCCTGTCAGAGACCTCCAAGTGTTAACTCAGGTTTCTGCATCTGTAGTATTACTATTACTAGAGCTTCGTAGTATAACACTTCTGTATTGCTGTGCAGACCTTTGCAAAGGGGCATGGAAGGAAACTGGCTGGCCCAGAAGGCTTGAGCAGCAGGGAAAGAAACCCCTTAGCCCTCAAGTTCTGGGTCCACTAGGAAATTGTGATACTATAATCTAACTAATACTGGATGAGAAAATAATTTAGTTAACAAGACATGCAGTCTATATAAGCAACATATGCATCCTATCAACTGTGCTTTCAAATACATAAGGCTTTGAAGAAACTGTTTTAGCTCCCTTATTTAATAGTCATATGATACATATACCACTTATACATTTTTGAAACATTGTTTTCATTCATCCACATATAAAAAATGAAAAATGTTAAAAAACCCATAAAATTCCAAAGCATATATACAAAAACACCAATTCTTTAAAATATCAGTTAAATGATAACAACACAGTTTCACATCACACATACAGAATCAAACACTGGAAATAAAGGTTGTCGTAAAGCCTGCATTGCACATAAGGATTTATTAAGTATAAAGAAATGCATGTTTTATAATAAAAAAAAAATCTTAAATTTAAGCCACAATAAGAAACTGGTATTCTTTCACTAAAACTCACATGGTAAAATCTTGGGGAGTGGGGGAGGGGGCAGGGAGGTGTTAAGAGAATTTTTATATTTGCCATACTTAACAGGCAGTTTTCCAAACAGAGATGATTTTACCATAAATCACTTGTGTTACACACTTCCTATTAAATCGCATTAATCCTAAAAGATGTAAATTATAAATACATTACCAAAATGCCAGTGTCAATGAATAAATACTAACTGATAATATTCCCCATTTAACAATAGTCCTTAAAAATGTACTGAACCAAGATAATAACAATTCTTTAAAAAAAGCAATACGCAGCTTGGACCTAGGGCTGTTGCACTGTGATGAGATTTCATTAGATTGATAAGCACACATTTGCAGTACATAGTATATTTTGTTTCATGATTTATTTCTTGCCTTATACGCTTGGATTTTGTAGATTAGGCAATTAATAAGGTAGTTATTTTCTTAGCAGCCTTTAACTTTTTTTTATTTATAAAAGCTTTTATTTGCTATTACATTTTAAATCTAAAAGCAATTTTTTAAAGTTATTTTGGTGCCTATAAAGTGGAACTAGTCCCCCTGTAACATCTGCATATTTTATGAACCCAGGTGCCAAAATGCATTCTTAGATATTCTCGGTTGATTATTTAATCATGCTTTGGTCATATTTCAACAAACAAACAGTTTGGGAGAATGTGGTTAATTTGTGTTGCATCTTTAATACTACCAGCCATGTACATAGTGGAACAAAGAAGACGCCTAGAATTTACAGAAAGTCATGAGGCAATTTTGATAAAATCTCATTTCAGAGAACTGAAGTCACCAGGAAATAAGGAATGGTCTGTAAATGGTGTTTTATCAAGAACTTCTTTATCATAGCTTGATTATGTACAAGAGGAGTTTTCTGGCATGCTGTATCCAAAACAAGGGAGGGGGAAGAGTTTGGGAGGTGTTTTTTGGTTCTTTAATTGTCTGGGGAACAGAAACCTTCAGCTCATTCTCTATTAAAGTCCATCTGAACTAAATTAATACACTTTTCATACAGTGAAGTAGCAAATGAATAACATTTCATTAAAATGCTGCTACCATCATTTAAATAATGGAATTACATTTCACTTCAACCAGATAAAATCTTGTTAAATTTCCTGGAATATCCTGAAAGACCTTACCCTTCCTTTTACATGCTTTTTAATGCCCATTTATCATTACAGTTACACATCCTAAACACATATTTTGCAAAGTGGCCCTGTCCTTTTATCCTAATGGAATTCAAGATATTTTCTTAAATGCATGTAAGAGACATTAATCCTAACAGCTTTAGTCAGACCAGATCTACTCATGTATGAGGTCATTTAACTTATACAGAAGCATCAACAACTGAACAGGAGGCGGGGCGGTACTAACTCTCCTTAACCTTTGTCCTAAACCTCAGGGCACACTAGTCAACTGAGTTTCTTTATTTCTGGTTTTTGTTTTTAAAGAAGTTTCTTCTAGTTAATGTCTCAAATTGCAGCAAGGGAAATTTAGGTTAGATACAGTACTAGGAAAAAACTCTCTCACTAGGAGGATGGTAAAACACTGGAACAGGTTACCCATGGACGTGGCTGAGTCTCTATCCTTGGAGGTTTTTGAGACCCAGCTACAACAAAGCTTTGGCTGGGATAATCTAGTTGGGGATGGTCCCGATTTGAGCAGGGGGCTGGACTAGATCATTGTTTCTCAACCCATAAGTCGCAAGAATATATGAAAGGGTCATAAGCAAACTTTAAAAATAGATCAACAAACTTTAAAAATGGATTCTCCTTTAAAGGAGAAAAAAGTGGGAAATTGCCAGCCTGCAAGGGGCTGCTTGGGGCCCACACACGGTGGGGCGGGGGGCAGCAGGTCAGGAGCAAGAGGCACTGGGTTGGGACGAGCCATTGACATTTCCAAATGAGCCCTGGTCCAAAAAAGGTGGAGAACCACTGGATGACCTCCAACGGTCCCTTCCAACCAGCGTTCCCTCTAAACTGCGCGGCCATGCACGCGCACCTGGCAGCCTGAAATAAGCATGCCCAACCCTCATTTTCTATGACTATGAACCCCCCACCACAAGAGACTGGATTGCAGACACGCTGGATAACAAAACCAGGCGGGAACCGGTGCACAGGAAACACCCGGTCATTCCAAGCAGGGCCAGACAGGCACGGGCGAACAGGGTGCCCCAGACAGAAAGGAGGCCAGAAAATAGTCATTATTATTATTATCATCATCATCATTCTCTCTGGCGAAGGGAGGCCTGATACTACAAGTTCGCCCTAGGCCACCTGGAGTCAAGGGGCAGTGCTGATTCCAAGGGTGGCAACTATTGGTTTGAAGAGCCCGTTGTCAGGCAGGTTTTCAAACTCTTCTCCCCCTTCCACTGACAGAGAGATGTCTGTGCTCCGCTCTGCCTGCCCGGGGCCTCTCCCGCAAGGCTCAAGCCCAGGGGCACTCAGCACTGCCCACCCGGGACACCCAACCCCGCCAGGCCCGTGCCCCGCGGAGGAGGCGGGCAGTGCCCGGGGCTCACCCAGCACGGCGCGGAGGTGCTTGAGGCGGGTCAGCACGTCCTTCTTCGGGTCCAGCGCTTTCTGTGTAGATTTCTTGACATCCGCATGGCCCTTGCGGGAGAACATCCCCGGGGCCGGGGCGCCCGGCTGCAGCGAGGGGCGACGGAGGCGGAGTGGGGAGGACACAGACACCCCGGCTCTGCAGGGGGGAGTCCCTGCGCGGCGGCTCCGGCTCCTGCTGCCGCCCCCGCTCCGGAGTGGGCGTGTAAACACGGAACTGGCGCCGCCGCGCTTCCCCGACTGCGCAGCCGCCCGTGCCCACCCCTTGCGCGCCTGCCCGCCCGTCCCCCACCGCGCAAGGCGTCCGCCGGGGCGCACGGGGCTGAGAACTGGGCCGGAGCCTGCCGCCTCTGTGACCACCACCCCGACACCCCCGGACAAGGCCCCCCTCAGTGGGCGCCAGGACTACATCCCCCGGCATGCAGCGCGGCGGCGGCTGCCGCGGGGGCGCGCTGTATGCTGGGAGTTGTAGGCGCTGCGGGACGAGGAGCGCCCAGGTCTTTGTGCCGTGGGGAGTCCTGCCCCGCCTCCTAGGACCGTGGGCTGTGGCGTGTCCCATGGGACCCCTGTGACCTCCAGTCCTTCCCCCTCACTCCTAATTACAGGCAGCAGGGGGGTGGGTGTAGTGGCCTGCAGGTGCCTAACCCACCCCAGGAATAGCGCTCTTGGGGCACATTTACACGTGCTTTAGCCTATTTTAACGGGCATTAAAGCCTCGCTAAAAAAAAACCCTGTACTCTTTCGTTAATGTTCATTAGACAGGCTAACGTGCATTTTCCTAGTACCTTACAATGGAGGTACTGGACTTAACGCTAGGGTGGCCATCATAGAGGACAGTATAGTTGTCCTCTATTGATATGAAACTGGATGCCTTTATGTCCCCTATTTTTCTATTCTCTTCCCCCTCCCCCGCAACACTTGCTACAGCACTGCCCAAGGGTAGGTCTACATGTGCATTAACGCACATTAGTTAATGCGCATTAAGTCTTGTACCTTGAGTGTAGGGAGCCCTGCTCAGGGCTCTTTCCATGGTCACCTGCTCCATGGGCTGCCACCACAGAGATGGGCTGGTCCCCTTTGGCAGTAGCTGGAGTAGCTCTTTTCTTCAAAAGAAAAACAGAGAACATAAAGGCATCCGGTTTCGTATCAATAGAGGACCCAGTAGCAGAAAACTGGAATGTCCTCTATGATGGCCACCCTACTTAATGCACATTAACTAAAGTGCATTACTGCATGTGTAGACATGCCCCAAGGGTAGTGCCATAGGAACAAAGTTTGGTGCCCAGGGCCTGTCCTCACCCTGCACACAGATCCAGGGAGCACCCCCTGCCGCCCATGCTTGCCTGGAAGTGCACACAGTGGCAGGAACCACCCTCCCCCCATTTCCATGCCCCCCCACAAATAAGCTGCTCCCTTGCTTAAGCCACAATGCTAGGCCTTTGGCAGAGAGGGAGTAGGAGCTCCTAAACCCCTCTGTACCCCTGCTCTGGCCACAAGAGGAGAGCACAAAAATATATTGCCCTGGCATTGTGACGGAGCCACCAGGCTTTGTGTGTGCTTCCCATGACCCATGGCCCCATGCTTTACTGGAATGTTTCTCAACCATCTCCTTTTGGTAGCAAAGTAAAAAAGAAAACGTCCGTGACTTCCTTGTTCTTACTCCAAGAATAAAAAACAGAACAAAACAATGTCAGGTAACAGCGGTCAAACCAGGATATGCCTACAAAATTTGTGTGCATCTAGAGGTTGGCAAAGAACAATTGACCTTGATGGGTTTTGAGGGTTGGAGTTTTTCTTTTGTTTTACACTGAAATAACATTTGTGTTGTTGTTCAGCTCCCTCAGGGTCCCAAACAGCCAATTGGGAAATGCTGGTCTAATTAATGAAGCCAAGAAGTATTAATAAAGATGAGCATGCCCCAGGGCTACACTGTAGAATTCTGTATGCTGCACCCGTGCTACCATTGTCACAGGGACCTCCTCAGAAGGGTGTTTTATCTCCACTCTGCTCCAAAGCACACATTTTCTTACAAAAAATGAGTGTTTGTGCTCATAATTCCCATATGTGCACAAATTACTTTGCAGGTGCAACCTAACTACACATCTTTGAAAACCCAGCCTTATGTCAGACCTTTTGGAAACCAACTGGCAAACATTCAAACTAAGCCTAATAAGGCTATAGGGATCATTATATATACATTATATAATAAATTATACTGTATCTGTGACTGGAATTAGGATCACCAGTTGGAATTTACACATAACTCATTGGCTAGAGTAAACTCACTCAAGCTTTCAGTGGCTGCTTCCACTAAAATGCATAAATAATACACTATGTTGTAGTATTTTACAAAGCAGAATTTGGTCCAAAATTCCAGCTCAGAATATTTTACGATCTAAGTCTCCTTTAATTAGACTGCTGAGCAGAGGTGTTAATGTTGATAGACTCCAATGCAAGAACAAGGTTGTTGGTTGTAGCTGTGTTGCTCTGACATAGGCAGACAAGGTTCTTTGGGTAGATGTGATATCTCCTATTAGACCAACTAAATAGTAGGAAAAAATGTTCTTTGCAAGCTTTCGGGCACAAACACCCTTCTTCAGGCATTGGAGAGCATCTGCTGTTGGTTTGGGTGCTCTCCTTGGTAGATTACAAGCCAATATGCAAAAATGCATTTTCACAGACCTACATTTTTGTATATTGGCTTCTAATTTACTCAGGAGAGCACCCAGACCAACAACAGACTCTCTCCAATGCCTGAAGAAGGGTGCTTGCAAAGAACAATTTTCCAACTAGTTAGTTGCTCTAATAAAAGATATCACATCTACCCAATGCAGGAACAAAGCTTCTAAAATATACCACTATGTCCTCCTATACAAGCAAATGCAAGTCAACACCTTCCTTTTTCATATTACTAAACTATGAATCACAGGACAGAATTGGAGCAATAAAATGTGATTTACTGGGGTCCTAAGCACATAATCCTGAGCTGCTCTAAGGCTCTTCCAAGACAAAGAGCCTGAGACTGGTGCTGGGAGATATAATTCAATATGCTGTAACCCTTACTCATTGCCAAATTGCCAAGATGTGGTACACATCCAATGGTAATCAATGGGCACAGTTTGCTTCTTGGCAGAAGACCAAAGCTCAGCAAGAAGGAAAGGTTGAATTTTAGCCACATGTCTCTGGAAATCCTTCCCTGTCTGACTTCCTGTCAGCTTGCTCACTTTGAGTAAGCCAATGTGTTGGAAGTCAGAGCTTCCAAAGTCTGTGGGTCTAAGGCAGCCTACCAGCTGGTCTACCATGGAGCCCCACCTCCATTCCCATATGTGCTGAATTTCAACATGCTTGGTTTCCATTCCAAACCAGAATGAAAACCAAGGTTCAAAAAACCAAAGTTCAAACCCTCCAGGAAACAAAGTACTTTTTTCACCTGGTTCTATTGCACCAGTTTAATTGAATTGTCTTTAAACCAATTAAAACAGTGCAGCATTCTCATACCTGCTTAGTTCGTTCTCTGCCCCAAACTCTGCAGTGCTTCTTTCATTGTGGATGGACATCGAGCCGTGGGGATGTTGAGAAAGTCTCTGCTCTTCTCAGTTCCCCACAACCACTTTTGTAAAGGGCAGTGGCAGTACCAGAGTGAGTCTCTGCTCATTCTTCCACGCATATCCCACCTCAATGCCTGTTTTTTTTCTCCCTCGGGCTGGGGAAATAGCCTTAGAAATTCTCCTGTTGACTGATGTTTTCTTTTCAGACTTCTTTTGCTGCCTGTCACTGGGGTTCCTTCATACTTTTCCTCCCCTGTGTAAAAATAGGAGCCCAAAAAGCAGGGGTTGGCAATTATTTGGGCCTGAGAGCCACATAGGGAGTTCTGGTGAGCTGTCGTAGGTCAAGTCAACACACTTCTCCCCACTGCCAACGCAACAGCTCACCCAAACTCCTTAAGTGACTCTTGGCTGCATGGCTGGGATGGGGCCATGGCAGGGCAGGAGTGGGAAAGGCAGGTGGGGCTGGGATCATGGGGAGATGACTGCTCAACAGAACCGGCACCTGTCTCAGGGGCATGCAGGTAGAGGATGGCAGCTCTGCCCCAGCCCTGGCCCCGAGCTGTCACTGCCCTACTATCCCAGGATCATCATGGAAACCTTACCCATGCGGCTGGAAACTGCACAAGTAAGGCACATGGCTGGGCAGATGGGATGGGGCTGCAGGTGGGTGGGGAGCTGCATCCAGGGCCAGAAGTTTGGGGCAGTGATTATGAGGGGCCAAAGCAGAGCCCTGATCCACTCCCCACACACCGTTGCCCATGGAATCCATGCCTGTCACAGGGGCATGTAGGGAGTGGATTGTGGCTCTGCCCTGGGCATCAGCTCCATGCTGTCACTATCCCAAGATCCTGCCCTGGGACCCAGACTCACCTGCCCATCCCACTCCCAAACACTGCTCCCCATCCACCCACCTGCCTGTAGCTCCATCTCATCTGCCTGGCTGGATGCCTTGCCCACATGGGTCCTGGCCCCAGTGATGGGTGTAGCGTAGACAGGTCAGGTTGCCCATACAGTGGAGCCAGGGCTGGTGGCTCCACAGCCGGAAGGAGCCCCCACAAAGGATGCCAGGAAATAGTTTGGCCACTGCACTACCCCAGCCGTGCTGCACACCTGGGGGCAGCAGGACTGGCCACACACGACATGACCCAGGCTGCTCTGGTGTATGGGCTGGACAGGACTGAGGGACCAGCTGCAGTCTGGACAAATTCCCTTGGCAGGCTGGATCCATCCTGCAGGCTGTATTTTGCTCACTCCTGCCAGAGGCACAGGCTAGCAGACAAAGTGAGCAGGCTGGCTAGGAAGGTGGTCTTGACATCCTGCCTAAAGGGAGGCACCTCATGCTACCTGTTAAAAAAGAGTAGATCTAAGTATGGAGGAAGCCTTATAAAAGATAAAAAGGAACACAGGATAGAAGTCTGCAAGCAAGAACCAGCCGTCAGAATGAGACTTTTCTTGTTAGCACATCTTTTGTCAGTTCTGGTACATTTGGTCATAGATTTACTCTTTAGCAGAGTTCTCTGAGCTATTCCTACACTTCCAGCCTTTCAAACATTTATATTTGCTCCTTGCTGTACATCTTGACTTGTAACTTTTGCTGTTGCCAAATCTTTTAATTTTGTCACCAGCCTCACAATATTTGGTATTTCCCCTAAGGGACCC